AAAAGATTTAAGATGTACATTAAACATTAATATAAAATAATACAGTACATTAAACAGCAGCTTGAATATGAGTCTGTGGTGAGCAGATGGGTATGAATGAATACAGCAGCATGAGATCAGCAGCAGCATGAGATCAGCAGCATGGATAATCAGCAGCACAGATAAGTCACATATCACCAGTTCTATCATATCAATAAATTGCAACCCAAAACATTAAAGAAAACTTTGGTAAAAACAAAATAAACTTGTTAAATTTCTGTAAACTTCCAGAATCTGAACCTGGACCCTGCTGAGAATATGCTTAAATATTAAAAATAGCTAAGAACGAATACCTCCCAACTAGACTGGCTGAATGTGAATAAGTGAAGAAGCATAAAAACAAGACATTTTCAGACTGAAGGTGTTGAAACCACATTTTTGTCAGCAAAGAGCCTTAGGAGTAAAGGGGAGATAAAAAAAAGACTAAATAAATAAATGTTTTATTTTATTATTCATATACTACTCTTACATATGTCGTTTTGTGATTGTTCACTCAAAACCACCACAAAACTTTGAATACCTCAAAGGCTCTTCTGGTTTTCAACATCACGTTTTTATGGATGTGTGTCTATAATTGCACTTTTTGAGTATAAAAACACAAAAGTCGTCATTGTTTTATTATTGGAGGGGTGTGGCATTGCTCGTTGGAGAAACTGATGGATTGCTGAGGCAAAGCCCTGGGAACATTGTTCAGTGGTGTCATTTGAGTATAAATAGACTGAAGAGATTAAAACCAAATACACAGCAAAGAACACAGATCAGACACAATGGCACATGTGGCTTTAGGGGCTTTGAAGAAGAGATACTGTAACATGTTTGCTGATTTATATTTTAGTTTATGTGTAAGTGTGTTCATGCAGCTCTTGTTTATACAGTCATGTGGAGTCGAATCATTAAAATGTTATGCAGTTTATGACACAAACGTTAAACTGATTTTTTTGATGGAACTAAAAAAGTCAAAGTTTTGGTTCCATAATTTCTTTGACCTAAGACCTGCATGAGGTCGTTTTTTTTTTTCATTTTCACTTGTCTGCAAGTGTCAACTCTTCACTTCCTAGAAAGATGTGTAACCAGGCAGACTGTTTACTAGAGGTGTATCGACAGCATGCACCTCCCATTTAATGAAAGACCAAGAAGAGAGCAAGAAAAAATCAATAAGAGTGCTTGGTTTGGAAATGAAATAAAATCAAAATGTTTATTAGCGTATTTTTAAGCAATTTTTATTTTATTTTTATAGCTTGAACTTAAACTTTTCCCATTTTGACATGAAACAACTTTATTTTATCTTGCCTGGGCACATCAATATGATTACCGTATTTTTTGGACTACAAGACGCACTGAAAATCCTTCAATTTTCTCAAAAATCAACAATGATCCTTATAATCAGGTGTGACTTATGTATTAATTCTAGTTGTGCTTACTGACCTGGAACCAATTTTATGTGGTTATTGCAAATGAGTTGAATAAAGTTTGACTTATCTGACTGTTTTGATTCGCTTAATGCGCCTTATAGTCTGAAAAATAGGGTACCTAAATTCAAATGGGAGTAAACTGGTGTCAAAGATTATTCCTGCGCTTAATAAAATATTGAAATGGCTTCATTATTTGACTATTTGTCAGATATTGTAAAATTATAATCTGTGCCATATTCACACGTGTGGCAAGATCATTAACAGCACACAGACATTTGTCACTTTAAGTATTTAAACAGATCGGCAAACATATCGTTTATAACAATACAAAAGAGGAATTTCTTTCTTGTATAGTGTGAAAGATATGACTTATTTATAGATAAGTTACCACTTGTACATGGTTTGTGAGAAAATGCACAGTACTATGAGTCTTGAGCTCTCATTGGGATCACAAGTTCAAGTAGTAAATGGGATCTTAGGTAAACTTGTACAAACTGAAATTATATATTTCCAAAGAAAGTGCTGGAAAAGCCTTTGAAAGAACTCGATCTCTGATTTCTAGTTCTCTCTCAGTTGAGTGTGTGACTGCATCATGTTTCCATGTTGGTGTTTTCTACTTTTAGATGCAGTGTAATCGCAGCAACAGCCAACAAAGATGATGGGTCAGATTTGAAATAACCACTTGATACCCCAGTGTTCCCCATCATACCTTATGCACCAACCATATTTCCATGCTGTGTGTTCTGCAAGTGAGAGCAGTTCTCAGTCAAGCGTTGGAGGACTATTTAAAGTATAGTGTGTCCATGGAAATGTAGGGATACAGGTGATGCTGTAATGAAGAAACAACAAGAACAATGAGGTGTGTTCTTTCAATCAGGAACATTTTTGAGATTTTGGTAATTATTTTGTCTTTGGTTGAGTCTTTGTGGCAGACTCTGGGATTCATAATTCAGTCAACCTTTATTTATACAGATTAGTCTCAGTCACGAGGACTCAATTACAAGAGAGACCTGTTTTAGTCAAACCACAGATAAGGTACACACAACTATAAACAGCCATAAAATGCATATACAATAAAAAGTAAAGAAAAATAGTGATATAAAGCAAAATAAAATCAAGCTACATTTTGAAATGAGGTAAAATACTAAAAACAGGAAAAAGTCTGCATTGATTTTTGCATTGAACTTAACAGTTGTTTTAAATCCCTTAGATTTCGTTCTACTACATGTACCACATGCGATGCGAACAACAATAAAGAATCTCTGATTATATTTGCACTACTTCAGCAAATACCACAATCAGCACATTTTAATTATAGTATCTTTAATGAAAAACACTATCACTTTATAACAAGATCCAAAACAAAAAAAATGTCACAAATCTGTTAATTAGCACAAAAATATAAGGACATTTTTGTTTGTTTGTTTTGTATCAAAGCTTCTTGGAAATTAATCTGTACTTATGAAAAGCTTGATTACTTCCCCTTTAATGGTACCTCTTGTTTGGTGTCGTTTCTTGAATAATTGGTCTGAAGAAACAAGATATATTGAAATTTTCACAACTGATTCACAAAAAAAAAAAAAAGGACCTGAGCATCATGTGGAAGAACCATACACAGCCACAAAACCTTGGCACATTCTCCTCATGCCGCTCAGCAGCTTGGTTAAGCAATGATGTATGATGGCATCCCAGTCTTTAACCAGCATTAGTCACAGATCAGCCAGTGTGGTTGTGTTGACCACTCTGGAACAAACGCAAGCCGACCCACATGTGTTCAGTAGAGTTCAGGTCAGGACCACTGACAGGCCAGTCCATCCCTCTTTACTCTCAAATTCTTAAGGTCGTCTTCGATAAACCATGCTTTGTGTTGTGTCATCACTGTGGGTGATAGAGTTTGGCCAAAGATTGTGGACATGTGATTGCAACTGGTTGCTCAAAGGCACTGACAGTCAGACGCCAATCAAGCACCCGATAATCAGGATGTGAGGTACCTGAAGCTCACAACAAGAATCAAAAGCAGAATAAACATTTTAAATATGCAGGTAAAACATGGCAAGTGGGCACAGCACACATATTAGCTGGTTTTTTTTCCTAACAAAATTTGCACCAATTGAGGAGAAATAAGTGAACTTTCCAACTGTTATAATCATAATTATTGCAACAAACTGCAACTAAGTCAAAATAGAAATGTCCTTTTCTTTGTGCTTCATTTACACGTCACTTTTTGTTCTTATTTTACCCTAATGATAACCACAACAGGTCTGATGAAAGTTACCTTAAATAATCTTTTTTGACCAGTTCCTGCAACAAAATGTCACTGATGATCACGTCACCATCACATTCAAGGAACACCGTCACAGTATCATCAACACTGTTGGCAAGCCCACAGGGAACAAGCGTCAGACAGAAAAGGCCAAACGAGTATCTGTATCTGCAGACTGATGTGTTTTTCACCAGGACAAGTGTTGTGCACCTCCCTGAGGAAGTTTCCAGAGAAGCTGCTCTGAAAGGAATGCAAGGCCGCTGACATTTGCGTGTCTTCAGTTACTGCAAAGTTTACTTAACCCTTTATTTATGTTGAGTTATATATTCATCTTTTTCTGCTATAGAATGTGCAGTCAAACAATGTTCCTTCAAAGACCTTTACAGAACGATGCTCAAACAACTTTGTCTTTAATAGAATAAAAACAGCTGCTTTCAAATCACTTTCTTCAGCCCCGGGAACTCAAATTTCTTTCTTTTTGAACATGCAGGCCAGGTGAGACTCTTTGTGATTTAGTCACTGCTGATGACAGAAACCTTGTGAGAGCTCAGGTTTGGGTTGCAATTCTGTTTGGCCACTTTTTTTTTTTCTTCTTTACTTTATCAACTCTGGCATTATTTGACAGTATGGCTTCCAAAAACAACAGTAAGCATTCTGGAATAACAACTGTAATTGTACCCAAGTTACAAAATTGCCATTTTTACAAGAAAAAAAATCTTGATGTTGTCGTGGATAAAAGAAGATTCCCCAAAACAGACCAATGTATAGTTCATCAGATTTATTTACAAAGCTTTGGAGAGCAGTCCAACAATTCACAGAACATGCAATTACAAGATTACACTGTTATCAGCGCTCTCATCCGTGTGAAACCCTGACCTGCTCTAACTCTCTAGACTGGACAGAGTAAGCTCCAGCCCAGGCCTCAGCCCCTCAACCTCCATGTCCGAGCCGTCATCAAAAGGTCCGCTTGCAGACAGGAAGGAGTGGATCTGATTCAAGGCCTCTGCTTGAGACACGTCACCGTATCACATCAACTCTATCATATCAATATATCAATCAGCCCTTGAGGATATCAAAAACAATCAGTTCTTTCTGTTCCTCACGGACTGGTCACAGTAGGAGTGATTATATGGGACCATTAATATCACACATCACAAACATGAGCAGAAGGACGTTGTAGAACGTTCCTGCAGGGGAATTATTGATGAAGATGAGTGCAAATAATACACATTAGACAGTGTGATAAAGGAGTTAAAATAATTCATGTGTTTTCCCTCTTTTTTCAGGACCTCCAGTGTTTGTAAACCTCCTCCGGTGGCCCCAAAGGTACAGCAAAATGACTTCCACCCCACAAAAAAAATATAAATCCAGTTCAGCAAGCCAAGGCTTAGATTCAAATTCACATACATTTTCATTAATGGGTACATATTTTAGGATATTGCGTAAACTATTTCTCACGTGAGTAGTTAATTTCTTCACAGTTGTAAAAGTTTCAAAAGTAAAGAGCAAATTCAATAATTATTAAACTTTACATATATGCACCCTTCTGAAACAATACCATGCAACTGTTTCACTGCATGTCGTTTTATGTTTGCTGAAATGATTTTATTGTGGAATACACATACAAACGCTGATGTCTCCTCAACAACCTGCCCGACAAACAGGTCCTTTAATACTTTTTGTATCATTTAAACAAACTATATGGACAAACATATTCAAACACACCTTGGGAGACATCAGTGTTGTATTATTTTGTTTGTTTTTGTGTGTATTTGCATGCTTTTCTCTCATGTTGCTAGGGCGACAGAGCAGACATCATTAAACCAGTAGCCATCACCCGCCCATCTCCTCCCCTTCACCCCCAACCTCGTTGCTCTGTACCCTACAACAAGGTCCCCAGACCTTATGGGGGGTGTCCATCACAGAGTGAATGTCCTAGCTCACAGTCACCGTTCACCACCGTCATCCCTTCCCCATCCTCGGCCTTCACTCCTGCCTCATCCTACACTAGTCCTCTTCCTCCACCTCTTCGGCCCCCATCCCCTCCTCCTTTCTCTTACCCATCGTCTGCCTCCTCCTCCCCCACGGTCCTTGTTCCACCCCAGCCATCGGTGTACAACACACCAATCAACCTGTACTCTGCTGAGAATGCGTGCGAGGTGGCCATGGGGCAGATGCGGGGCCTGTTGGAGAGTCAGGGTGGAGTCGTACCATTTCAGTTGAATGGGTGAGTGGAGTCCATCATAACAAACTGTAATCTTTAAACATTTCATCTCTTCACATTCCCCAGTTTTCTCTTTCGAGGCTGTCAAGATCTTTCCTTTTCCTCGTTGCTAGTTTTATTAAACTCATCCACTTTTGCCTCTGAAGCTTGTCAAGTTCGATCTTTCCTCCCAAATTTAAACTGGGAACGTGATAATTCTTTTTTGTATCTGAAACTACCTCATAAGTTTCCTATTACACCAAATTACTGCTCTTTTATATCTTTTTATTTTTATTTTTCTTGTTCCATTTTTTTTTGCTTCAACAATATTTCTGTTACTTTTTTAGCAGCAAACATTTCTTCAGTGTGCGTACTGAAAACAAAAAAAAAAACTCTTTACGAAACAACAATTCAAGATCATTTTTAGCATATGAAAGTGACAATCATGGTAAAGTTACACATTTTCTTCTAGGTGTATATTAAACAACAACATTTGTAGCTTTAGTTTGAACTTGGGTGGTTGTCTTTCAGCTCTAACCATGAAAAGTTAAATCATAGATGTATGCAAACACAAAAAAAAACAACATTTCCATGTCCACACATTTATCATGACACTTGTTTATATAGAGTTACAGTATATGGTTGTGCAAATAACATAATCTGTCTGTAGCTCAAAAACCTTCAGGAATTCCTGTAGTTTTTGCCAAATTATCTTTGTGATTTTGATAACATTTTAAGGATATACAGTATAAAATACCAAACTTGTAAAAAGCTTGAGATTGGAGTTGTTTTTAATCAACTCTAATCTAAGTTGATTTTAGATATTAGGTTTTCAATCTACTCAGAACTAAACTTTGTTACATCAAAATAAAATAATTCTTAAAGCTTTAATATGTCAGATAGGGTATTTAGTCATATTCTACAAAGTATTTACAGATTCCCACTTAAAAAAAAACTTACTATTTTATCTGTAAATCCTGTCATCAGTTTGTTTTTATGCTTATTATATTATTTGACTTGTAGACCATGTTCTTTTTTTCTGGCATTATCATTTAGACCTAAGTTGTCTGTTACTGTTGTTGTCGACACAAATTCCCTCGTCGTCTATCAACTCCAACACGAGTCTTTTTCTGTCTCAACACCCTCTTTGTAAACCTAACGTCCTGTGACGCTGCAGAGCGGTGTTTATAAAGCCTGGATTGGTCGGTTCATCTGTGCAGCATTTAATAAGTCAATGTTTTATTAATACATTCATGCAGATTTAGATAAATGCCTCAACAGATTAACACAGCTTTATCAAGAAAGTTTATTCAATCATAAATGCGTTTTTTTAATTTTTTATCACGTTCAGTCTGTTAGTCTGTTCTCTGAGCACTTTTATAGAACAATTAGTGGTTTCTGTTTTAGTCATTAGCCAGTGATTTCCATAACATACACCACCCCCACACACACACCCACACACACGTTGCCACAAGCTATATTTCTGCATGGAGGAGTATTTCAGATTACATTTATGACCATTAAAAAAAATGCTTGAATTGAAGCTTTAACTTGATCTTTCTCTGCTTTATCTGGTTCTGATTTATTCTCTGCTTGAACTTGCAGTTCTTGTGCAAAAGCGTTTCACTTTTTGATTGCAGTTTTAACATTAACTGAGTTTACAGTTACAGAAATAGGTAAGCTGTTTCAAAAGCCTTGCCATTAATCAAAGTCTGCATGATTCAGGACTTAATGCATCTTCTTGTTAATGAAGCCAGGCCTAACAAAGAACAGACTGGTGCCTGATCCCAGTTTGTGGATCCATCTTTGCATCTTGCTTGCATGAACTGTGTGGTTTGTTTCAGAGGGGAGGTACAAAGAAAATATGTCACTGCTTTTATATTTTATTTTTTTGCTTTACCAGAAAAACAAATGTATATACAATGCATCTGTCAGTGTTCTCTCTTGATCTCCGTATTACAATCTCTGTTTCTCTGCTTTGCAGACTAAAGCATCTGCCCCAATCACAAAGTTAGTCACTGCAGCATGCTCAGGGTTGGTTTTCATCACATCTGTGCTCGTATCTCACTCCTCGAATGCATGACTTCATTTTAGTTCAATATTTGCTGGCAGTAATGTCATTTTGTGTTAGGCTTTTCCTTTCTGTTCAAATGGTTTTCATTGTGATCATTTAACAAGTTCTACTGCTTTTATGCTTAGTTTTGTACATTTTTTTTATTTAAATTGAGTAAAAATATTAAACAGGACAAATGATTCAGTTCGGCCTGTTTTAATCAGCTTTTTTCTTTATCAGTGACACAGTTTCGCGACAGCTGTACATTTTCATCACAGTAATTGAGATTAATGCATCACTGCTGCTATAACAAGAACGTGTTGAGAGTCACTCAAAAACATCATAAATCAGTGATCAGCTTCATGGAGCTCTCACAGACAGTATATATATAGGTGATTTATTGACAGGAGGCCTTGGGAAACACTCTTAGGTGTGTGTGTGTGTGTGTGTGTGTTTGTATGAGTGTGTGTTTGGTCTAAGTGTTGATTTACTGACAGCTAGACTGCAACATCTCAGCACCCCCATCGCCAAGCAAGACCTGAGTGGTTCTGCACAAACACAGTTTGAACAAACTGAATCTTTCTCTGTCTTCATAACTTTCAGAGCTACAGTGCACGTTTGCTCACATTATATGATTTAGGACAAACTCTAAAATACTGTCTGTTAAAATACAGTTTCGAGAACTTCCTTTACACATACAGAATTGTGCATGATTCAAAAGCACCACCGTGTGGTTGAAAATATAACTTTATATATATATTTTTTGTAATTTAACCTAACTTGTTGTGTTGTGTTGTGCTAGCACTGACAGCACATTTCACTTTAGCTTCAGTTGGAGTTACATGAAAAGAATAAGTTGAAGTGAATAATTTCCCCCTCTTTGTTTTTCTTCTGTCTTTGACTCTTTGTTAGTGGACCTCAAAATGTTTTGAAGTAAGTCTTTTCCCAGTTGCAATGATTGTAAATGCTATTTCATACTTTCTTTTCATTATTTGATCTGTCCTGCTTTCTTCCTTTTTGTTACTGATTTCTAAGAAAACCTCTGCAGCTACCACCAAGGTATTGTCTCAAATATGTCAAATAAATTGTGGTGTGACCCCTTGTCCTGACAAATACACACATTGTTGGCTTTACTTATAGATTTATTTAATGTAAACTCTTTTCTTCAAAAAGTCCAGTTCCTTTAAGTCAAATATGAAGTGTTGTACACTTTGAATTTAGCTTCCTAGATAAATGAAGTGTAAGTGGGTGTGAAGTGATGTTTCCTGACGTCACCCATCTCTCTCTTCCTGTCCTTTCCTCAGAGCTCCCAGGAAACACGTTGTGGACACTGACATCCATTTTTACCACGTGCCCACTCATGCTGATGCCAGCAGAAAGCGTATAACGGAGGACACAGAGGACTGGCGCCCACGCACAGGCACCACCCAGTCCAGGTCCTTCAAGATTCTGGCTCAGATCACCGGCACTGAGAACGGTAGGACACCAGCCCACTTCAGTCTTTCATTCAATTCAGTTCAGTTCAGTTTATTTATATAGCACCAAAGCACAACATTGACTCAGTGCACTGAACAAAAACATTTACATACTGTACATCATAAATGCCAATTAGCAAAAGTTAGCTATCTAAGGAAACCAGCAGATTGCCGTCGCAGTCTCCCATCCTGAGCGAGCACAGTGCACGGTGGAAAGAAAAAACTCCCTTTTAATAAACCTCCAGCAGAACCAGGCTCAGGACGAGCGACCATCTGGTTCAGTCGGCTGGGTTTGAGAGGACAGGAAGGAGAAACATACACAGAATGGCAGGTCCAGGTTTCTATAGCAGAAAAGGAAAAAAAAAAACATAAGGATAAAATAATTACAAATACAAACAAGTAGAGTAGAGCAAGTGAAGACAGAAGCGGAGTGACGAAATGTGGTCAATTTGTCCTCCAGCAGTCTAAGGCTATAGCAGCATAACTAAGGGATAGGTCAAGAAACCCAGGCCGACCCCAACTATAGGAATGATCAAAAAGGAAAGACTTAAGCCTAATCTTAAAAGTCGACAATGTGTCAGCCTCATGGACAGAAACAGGAAGTTGGTTCCACAAGAGAGGAGCCTGATAACAGGAAGATCTTCCTCCCATTCTGCTTTTGGAAACTCTAGGAACCACAAGTAAACCTGCAGTCTGAGAGCCAAGTGCTTTGTTAGTAAAATATGGACTATAATATCTGTAATATAAGATGGAGCTAGGTTGTTGAGAGCTTTGTAGGTTAGGAGTAAGATTTTTAATTCTATTCTGAATTTGCCAGGGAGCCAATGGAGAGAAACTAAAACTGGAGAGATATGATCTCTCCCACTAACTCTCATTAAAAGGAGTGCAATGGAAGGAATAATACACTTTCTGTTGCACTACATGGCATAAATGGGATTTAAAATTCTTACTGATTTTTAAATCTGATAATAGTCATTTATGTAACACTTTTCAGAGAATTAAAAAAAAAATTGTTTTACATTTCATTTCAGTTCAAAATGAGGAAGCCGACTCATCCAAGAAGACAAAGTAAGTGCAAGTCAATGAGAAATTCCTCTTTTTTTCATAGGAGTGATTGTGACGATTTCATTTCATCTACGCTTTTTGATTGCATTTTAATCTGATTTTTGAATTCAAATTGCTCAGTTTGTAGATTCATAAACAATATATTTACAAAGTAAACAGAAAATCTAACCTGTGATCTGTGTGGTCTAACTCTGTCAGTCAAATGGATGCTGTGTGATCACTTACTGTCCATATAATAAAACTAAAGTCACATTTAATCCAGCGAGTCCAAACTGTCTGTACTTTTATTTATCAAATCGTGATGGATCCAAAAAGTCAGAGAGCAGTTTGAGTTGTTGTCATGCGATGTTGCTAAAGACTGATTTTAGACCTGACTGTAACGGTGTACAAATCAAACTGAGCTGTTTATTTTCTCAATTATTTTATTTTGTGTCTCTCAGAGCCTCGATTTGCTGTGTGTTAAATAACCCATGCAGCTTGTGTCGTTGACACCCTTGGCTTCACCTTGGTTGTGTTCTCGTGTGGTTTGCAACCCATCGGCTGTCTGTTGTTTCTGTTGTTGGTTTGCGCAGCGATATTTGTGATCTGTGTGTTTCTGGGCTCACCCGTGCTAACATTGTGTTTGTCACATTGTTAACTTTGCGATGACGCCTGTCTCTGAATTTCGATTTGTTCGGTCTGTATTGGTCAAGGCTTGCATTTGTCTAAAGATAGTTTCTGTTTTCACTAAATCAGTTTTTGCACATCTTCAGCTTTCTGCTAACTCTCTCGTTAGCTCGCTCTTGTAGTTCGGCTGATTCCAGTATTCAGACGTACTTTTCTCCTTGGTCTAAACTTTCTGTCCTTTCTGGCTTTCTTCTCTCTTTTTACTCTTGTGCGCTGGATGCCAGAGTGAACAAGACCACCACTCGGTTGGTGATTGGACCCAAGTACAACGAGTTGAGAGACTGGCACCACGGAGTGTCTGCTCGCACCCTGAATGTCCAGTAGATTGTGTGTTCATGTTTGTGTGTCTGTGAGTGTTACTGGTTGTATACTGGTGTATTTTGACATCGGGGGAGGTAAATGTCTATATGAATGGGATGTTGGGAGAAAGCAAAATAGTGAATTGATGATAAAAAAAAAACCTAAACAAAAGTATTCAGGCGTGATGGCGCTATGTGTTTAAGATTGTTCTTTATTATATCTATATCTGTGGATTATGTATTTTCACCTGACTGTAACTCAAAAAGTCGAAGTAGAAAGCAGCTGAACTATTTTTTTAAATTTAATCTGAAAAATCATTTACTTCTCGTTGACAAGGCTTCCTCATTATCAGGTGTTAAAGGTACGAATTGTCGTCATTTAACTAGTTTTAAACGTCAGAGGTGACAAAAAGATTGCATGAACTCCAATTTCTTATGTTTCATTATTTTGTCAGTAAAAAACATTTTATTAAAAAACCCAGTAAGAAATACAATGTCAAAAATCACCATTAAAGATCAAGTTTTTTTTTCTTGTTAGTTTAATTTAGCATAATCATTTTGTTTTATGTTAAACGTTCTTGCCTTTTCTTTCATTTCTGTATAAAATTATTATGAGTTTATGCTCTAACAATAAATTTGTGCATGATAAGAATAATTTGTTAACTCTACACTTTCCTTTTTACAAACCCCAATATTATTTATAAAAAAGCCACATGCATCGTTTATCTGTGTATTGTTTCTGCATCTGGTGGGTTTGCATGAGTGAGCTATCTGAAGCTGTAATTATTGAGACTTATGTCCCTCTTTATTTACACAAATGGGCAAATGGGACAGTTTTTTCTCCAAAATTCTCCATTATGAGATTACTTTTGTATGTAAAAGCTCATCGGAAGGAACAAGTTGATGGTCAATGGTCACAAAAGAAGTCTAGCTGCTTTCTTATGAACTTCTTAAAACTGCTTGATTGTTAGACATTGCATCAGTGATTTTAATGTTCTTGATCCCTTAAATGTAATTCTAACAGTACCCATGAATCAATAGGCTGTCAGTAGGATTTCATAATACGATCCTGCGATTTCACTCAATTATACATACAGTGGTGCTTGAATGATAGCGAAATATTTAGAATTTTTTATATTTCTACACAAATATGAGCTAAAACATCATCACATTTTCACACAAATTCTCAAAGTAGATAAAGTGAACCCAGTTAAACAAATTAGACAACAATATTATACTTGGTCATTTATTTATTCAGGAAAACGATCCAGTATTACGTATTGTGAGTGGTAAAAGTATGCGAACCTCTAAGATTAGCAGTTAAATTGAAGGTGAAATTAGAGTTGGATGTTTTTAATCAATGTGATGATGATCAGGTGTGAGTGGGCACCCTGTTTGGTTTGAGGAACAGTGATCTATCAAAGTCTGCTCTTCACATCATGTTTGTGGAAGTGGATCACGGCAGGAACAAATGAGATTTCTGAGGAGCTCAGAAAAAGAGTTCTTGATGCTCATCAAGCTGGAAAATGTTACAAAACCATCTGTAAAGAGTTTGGACTCCACCGATCCACAGTCAGACAGATTGTGTACAAATGGAGGAAACTCAAGACCATTGTTACCCTCCCCAGGAGTGGTGGATCAACAAAGATCACTCCAAGAGCAAAGTGTGTAATAGTCAGCGATATCACAAAGGAGCCCAGGGTAACTCCTGCAACTGAAGGTCTCTCTCACATTAATGTTAATGTTCATGAGTCCACCATCAGGAGAACACTGAACAACAATGGTGGGCATGGCAGGGTTGAAGATGAAAGTCACTGCTCTCCAAAACGAGCATTGCTGCTCGTCTGCAGTTCGCTAAAGATCACGTGGACAAACCAGAAGACTGTTGGAAGAACGTTTTGTGGATGGATGAGACCAAAATATAACTTTTTGGTTTAAATGAAAAGAGTTATGTTTGGAGAAAAGAAAACTGCATTCCTGCATAAGAACCTGATCCCATCTGTGAAACATGGCAGTGGTAGTATCATGGTTTGGGCCTGTTTTGCTACATCTGGGCCAGGATGGCTCTCTATCATTGATGGAACAATGAATTCTGAATTATATCAGAATTCTAAAGGAAAATGTCAGGACATCTGTCCATGGACTGAATCAGAAGAGAAGGTGGTTCAGGCAGCGAGACAATGATCCTACACACAAGTGGTTCTGCCAAAGGATGGTTCAAGAAGAATAAAGTTCATGTTTTGGAATGGCCAAGTCAAAGTCCAGACCTTAATACAGTGTAGATGTCGTTGAAGGACCTGAAGCAGCAGTTAATGTGAGGAAACCACCAACATCCAGAGTTGAAGCTGTTCTGTGGAGGAATGGACTAAAATTCTTCCAAGCCGGTGCAGGACTGATCAACAGTTACTGGAAATGTTTAGTTGTAGTTATTGCTGCACAGTGGATACAGTATCTGCACACCAGATACTGAAAGAGAAGGTTCACATACTTTTGTCACTCACAAATATGTAATACTGGATCATTTTCCTGAATAAATAAATGACCAAGTATAATATGTTTGTCTCATTTGTTTAACTGGGTTCACTTTATCTACTTTTAGGATTTGAGTGAAAATCTGATGTTGTTTTAGGTCATTTTTATGCAGAAATATGGAAAATTCTAACAGGCTCACAAACTTTCCAGCACCAATGTAAAGTTCTGTTGGACTGAAGTTCATTTGTATGAAGTATTTGTGCACATTTGTAAGCGTGACAGTGATTCAGCTGATACAAATATTATCTCGATAAACAAAGCACCAATAATGATTGTGACAAGTAAACAAAAACATTTTAGTAAGCACTTTATTTTTAAATAAAAATACAGTAAAGGAGCTGTGAGCTTACATTTGTGCCATTATGTTTAAATATCAATAAGATGAACAACAGAAAAGAAAAGACCAGTTTCTGATCAAATGATGAAATCCTGATAAACCAAATATACAGTTGCTGGCCAATTTATACTCCTCCAACCCAGTCTTTACTCCAGTGTACTGGTAAATATTACTATGCATTTTCAAGTTCAAGGTTCGAGGAGACTTTATTGTCATGCACATCACATGTGGTACATGAGCTGGAACAAAAATGTGTTCTCAAGGTCCCAGTTACACCCAAAAATAGCAATATATATATATAAAGTAGGCCTATAAATAAGTATAAATATCTACAATATGGTATATATTCTACAAAGATGCAGATGAATGGTTTGAATATTAATTCAAATTGTGGCCGTACTCAGTAGCGACTTCTGATTTTAAAAGTAGCAAAGATTATATGGTCTAAATTGTACTTAAGTATGAATAAAATTACACACATGAAATAAATACTCATAAAGAACAAGTACCCAAAAATATCTACTTAATTACAGTAATGTGAGTATTTGTAATTGGTTACTTCCACCCCTGTTTGGATGTCCATGGAAGACCTTGCTCAGTGCTCAAACTCAGATTAGGAATGCCTTTTAGCAGTTCCTCTTTCGTACCACTAGAGGGCAGCATAATTTAAGGAAGTTTTTAACTTTTACTGGACGTAACAGTGACACATAAATAAATCTCCAGCTAAAGTTTTAAAACTCCAGTCATTTTGTTTGTTATTTTAGTGATGATGAACATTAATTCTAAAATGTGACTCACAAACAAATGAACTTTTCTTGTCCCTAAATTATTTTATCCACAGTCGTCTCTTTGTGCGGTCCTCCCAGCTCGCCTCTTCTTAAGTAAAGCTTCTCTTTCTGTTACTTGACCATCATTCATTTTTTATTCAAACCAGTAAGGGGAGGGGATCTAATGGCAGGAGTTTAGTTAAAATGATTACTCCACTTCTAATTTGTGTTTATAGGACAAAGTAAATTTTATTGTTGTGCTCAAGTTGGTGCTCTCCTTAGGTCCTCTGGACATCCTGCCCAAAGCTGCCTCATGCACACTCACTCCAGCGCCCTGTCTCCTCTCAGACAGCACACTGTGGAAGATCACTAGTGTGGTAATTTGGACTGAAATATCATTTG